TGGAGAATTGGATGCGGCTGTTGAAGCCAGCCTAGAAATATCTGCTTTAATAGCCAAGAATGGGAAACCTTTCACAGATGGCGATATGATAAAAAAAGTGTCTTATCATTGCAAGTGAGATGTGTCCTGAGAAGACAGTGTTTTCAAACAATCAGTCTTAACCACATGACGATACAACAAAGAATCTCGCAAATTGCATCAGACATCGCATTAATCACTTGGAGGTCCGGCCCCCAGTCAGTAAACTTAATCCTAATTTGGCCCTTCTTCAGAAAAGGTTGTGCATCCCTGATTAACACAATTTGTGTTAATTGTACAATTATCATTATTATTGTGAAGCAGCAATAAAATATTTACTACCATTTTGCACAACATACCTCTGCGAGAGCGGATTTTTGGCCGTGACAAACATGAATCGTCGCCGATTTTGACTCAAAGATGACTCGAGACTGAAACTGATCAAAAAGCAACCAGATTTTACAAAGTTGAGCAAAGAAAATCGTGCACATTTGTCACATTAAAATTAAATAACCTTATGTTATTTTCATTATTATTAGAATTGTATTTTAAAGGTAATAAATGTAAAAAAAAAACTTATTTTATTTATCACTAGCTGTCTACCCACAGCCCACATTATATCGAATTTTCTCGTGGGAGTAAGATATTTTCTCGCAGTAAAATGTAGCCTATGTTCATCTCTAACGTGTAAGCTATCTCTGTGCCATATTTTATTAAAACCTGTTTGGCAGCTTAGACATGAAAAGATGACAGACAGACAGACAGAATTACCTTCGAATTTATAATATTAGTATGGATTAATATGAATTTCTGCTATAAGGGGAACGCGAGTTTGAGCTCTTTCTTGAAGAGGTACGCAGGAAAAAGTAATTGGGAACCACTGTTATAGATGCCCGGTGCCCAACTTTCATCTATCTTGTCCTTGTCATTGCATAACAGCCCATATACCATGTTAGGCCTCTCATATACGATCTTTGTGTCTTTATGTGTAGCAATTTCTTTATAAATGCATCTTAGGTGCTGGTTGTATTGCACCACAGTGTGTGATTGGTTGCTGTTGTTATTATGTGTGTTATAAGGCTTTACCTGTGAGGTATGAGTGTGGTCAGCCTTTAGCAAGTTGGCGTATTTGCTCGATAAATTATGTATCATGCTTCTACTGTACCCGTGCTTTACCGCTATGTTTTCAATGCACCTTAATTCAGCCACAGTATCATCCCATCTAGTATGGCGGGTGTAAGCCCTTCTAGTTAGTGCTCGGAACGCAGAGATCTTGTAAGAAACTTCGCATGCGTCAAGGCAAATGTTGACATCCAGGAAATGCGCATTTGTGTCACTCTTCTACGATCGATTCAAGAGAGTTCTTGAAACTAGATCCAGTCATAAGAGATATCCCACAATCCCATGCGCGTGAGAAAATACAAGATGGTTGCAGAACACGTGTCAGGCTGTCGACAGCGAAATAAAAAAGATATTGTATTTCGAGAGACGGTGACATCTGTCTATTATTAGATATATCGCAAGGAAAAATATTGTATTTATTTCTAACCAAAACTTTCATTTTGTTTGTCAGTGTTTGTGACTTATCACATAGTTATGTCAGTTTTATCATCG